CAGCTAAGATACTGCACAGAACCCTCAAACTCCCAGGCCTGGTAGAGGACCCAAGATTGAGGAAGGCACGTACCACCCATAGGGGTGAAAGTTTTTTGTTTTGTTTTTTTTGCATGTGTGTGTGTGGAGAGAGAGAGAGACAGATCAAGTCTAACAAAGTCTAACTCTAAAGGATACTAAAAGACTTTTAACTAAAGGATTCAAACCTCTACTCCTTTAATATAAAACATTTAGCTGCTAGTCTCTTCCCTCCTCCCACATGTACTTACCTACAGGTTTAAGAATGCTAACAATTTCTGCCTGCCTGCCTGCCTGACCATAACTACTGTATATTCTCACTCCTGTACTTGCTCTGCCCAGTTCTCCAGCACCTGAACCTTCTGGTGTATCCACTTTGCCACCATCTACAGTCTTGGGCCGTGTTCTCCTTCCAGCTCTCTCTTTGCAGATTCCTCCTCTGGTTCCTGGTGCCACAGGCTCCTTCCCAGACTCTACATCTCCTTGACTGTGGACAGTCTGGTTCCTGGCCCCCTCAGCCAATGCTTCCTCTTCTTCACGTTCTATCCAGTTGCCTCTCACTCCAGCAGCATCTCCTGTCAAACCTAGAACACACACACACACACACTTCTTTGTCTACCTGCTATATTTGATTCTTCTTTCTTTCAAAACCTACATGCCAACTTGCAGGTGATTCTAAGAAGTTTAATTTTTTTCCTTTCTTCTATAACTGTCTATGTGCTTAAGCTTGAACCTGACAGTCAGACCACCAAAGAGAAACTTTGACCTTGATAGTCACTCATACATTTTTCTGTTTCAAGGCAGTTCATCTTTCTACACCATAATGTATTTTGAGCATTGCCATCTGTGGTTTTAGTGAGATGATCACCCCATTTGTTGTTGTTTAGTCGTTAAGTCGTGTCCGACTCTTCGTGACCCCATGAACCATATTGCGCCAGGCCTTCCTGTCCTTCACTGCCTCCCTGAGTTTGCTCAGTTTCATGCTCATTGCTTCAGTGATGCTATCTAACCATCTCATCCTCTGGTCACGTGCAATTATTCCCTATAACCTAAATGTTGACATTTCCACTGTATGTAATGTGTAATAA